GCATGGTTTTCCTCCAGGTCCTTGACGTCCAACGTGACAGCCCGTCGCCTGCTATGGCTTAGACACTGGCAGGCAGATGCCAAGGCCAAGTGGCGCTTGGCGGCAGCCCCATACCAGGGTAGCAAATTATTTGGGGATGCCTTAGCCCCGTTTCTAACTGAGAATAAGGATAAGAAGAAAATTTTGGCCCACCTTACCAAATGGTCCAATAGGCAGACTACTCCGTATAACCGTAGACAGTTCTTTCGATCTGCCCCTACTCCTTCGACTAAGCAACCTTCATGACCCTTCACTCCCAGACAAGACCGCCCAGTAGATAGACTGGCCTCAAGACCCAGGCAACAGTTTCAGTCCAAACGGCCCTTTTGTGGTGGGGGATGTCCATTCCGTAGGAAGTGACTCCCGAGTGGACCCTCCCATAGGGGGCAGGCTGTCCCTATTTGCCACTCAGTGGGAGGTCACCACCACAGACGCCTGGGTCCTGGACACCATTCGATACAGTCTATCCCTAGAATTCACTGCCAGTCCACCAAGACGGTTCATTTCTTGCCCCCAATAAAAAAAACTCACTAAGGAAGGGTCTCGTGCAGGAGCCATCCATCACTTATTATAAATAAGGGCCATAGAACCGGTACCTCCGGCTCAACGGGGTCGCGGATTTTACTCCATTCTTTTTGTGGTCCCCAAGACCTCGGGAGGATGGAGAGCAATCTTAGACCTAAAAGGCCTGAATTTTTATCTGGCATACCGAAGGTTCAAAATGCAAACACTTCAGTCCCTCTTAGGCAGCATTCGAAAGGGGGACTTTCTAACATCTGTAGACCTCACAGAGGCATACTTACACATCCCTATCATTCCCGGCCACCGCCAGTTCTCAGGTTCAGTTACATGGGGCATCATTATCAATACAGGGCACTCCCGTTCAGGCTGTCATTGGCTCAAGATATTTTCCAAGGTCCTGGCGGTCTTAGCCGCACACCTGAGGTTGATGCCGATTCGGGTGCAATGTTACCTGGATGACATCTTAATACAGTCGTCTTCTTCCTGGGGGGCTCAGTCAAACCTGAGACTGGTGATCGAGGTCCTGCAGAGTCACGGCTTTTCGGTCAACTTCAAGAAACGTCAAATGGTCCCATCGACCAGATTGCTCCACTTAGGAGCCATAATAGCCACAATAGAATGCCAGGTTTATCTGTCCCAGGAACGCAGGGACAGCATACAGGACCTTGTTCTCAAGGTCTGCAGGGACAGGACTCTGTCACCTTCCGGTCTCTCCAGGCTTCTGGGAAAGATGATATCATGCATCTCGATCGTTCCCTGGGCCAGGTTACACTCATGGACTCTCCAGTGGTTTCTGCTTCCCTACCAGAAGCAGGGTACCAGCATTTCCACCCGAGAGGTAAGGATTCCCACCACAAATCCTGCGCTCACTCAGATGGTGGATCTCTCCCGCCATGGCCAGAGGATCTCTTTTCAAGGAGTCTGGTCAGCTCACAATCACGATGAATGCCAACCTGTTCGGCTGGGGAGCACACCATCAGTCACAGTAGGCCCAGGGACATTGGTTTCAGTCAGACCTGATGCACAATATCAGTTGGCTGGAACTCAGGGCCATACATCTAGCCCTCCATCACTTCCGTCACAGCATTGCAAGACAGCATGTGTTAGTCCTCATGGACAACATGGCGGCAAAGGCCCATGTGAACTGGCGGGGGGGTACCAGACCCCTTGCCCTTCTGACTGAGGCCCAGCTATTGGGTTCCTGGGCAGAGACCAACCTCGCCTCAATCAGGGCAGACCACATCTCGGGAGAGGCAAACACAAGAGCAGACTTTCTGAGCAGGTCAACCGTGGACCACTCAGAATGGCGTCTGAACCCAAATCTATTCAGGGAAATCACCCACAGATTCAGTCTCCCCTTCATAGATCTATTCGCCTCCCAGGCAAACACACAACTCCCGCGATTCTTTTCGCGCTTCCCAACTCAAAGGGCAGAGAGAGTAGATGCCCTTTGGGTTCCATGGCCGGAAGGTCTCCTCTATGCCTTCTCCTTTCGAACCCCTCAGTTCGTGCGACATGAGATCCTTATCCATCAAGGTTGCCTTCTTGGTAGCCATCACTTCAGCCTGACGTATTTCTGAGATGGCAGCACTCTCAGTCAGGGATGATTTATGTATTTTTCACCGGGACCGTGTTACCGTTCATTTAGACCCCACTTTTGTTCCCAAAGTCAACTCTCTGTTTCATAGGGCTCAGGATATCGTTCTCCTTGATTTCTGCCCTAATCCTTCCCATGATCTGGAACATCAATGGCATTCCCTGGACGTACGCCGGGCTCTCTGTTATTATATCAAGCGGATGGCTCCCTTCCGCAGCTCTGAGGCACTTTTTGTCTCATTCCACCCTTCAAAGGGTCGGAAGGTCTTGGCCTCCACGATCAGCCAATGGATAAGAGCCTGCATTGCGGGGGCATACCAGTCCGATTCCTTGCCGGTTCCATGTCGTGTCACCGCCCACTCCACGTGTAGTGCAGCCACATCTGCAGCTTGGTCCACGCAGGCTTCCATTGAAGAGGTGTGTAGGGCGGCCACGTGGTCTTTCCCTTCACCGTTCATCTGGCATTACAAACTGGACAGGTATGCATCCGCCGAGGCCTCCTTTGGCAGGAGGGTTCTGCAACAAGTGGTGCCACATGACATGGTTCCAAACTTGCCCACTTCCCTCCCGTAAGGACAGTGGGCTTTGGTATGTCCCATTAGTGGATTATCCATCTCCAGTGCTGGAGAAGGGGTGTTGTCTTATCTGAATGCCTTTTCTCAGCACGGAGATGGATAATCCACACCCACCCATTTAGGTCCTTAGGCCTAGGGTTAGTTTCTGTGAGCCAACATGTCATGCCGTTGCGCCCTCGTTGAGACTGGGAAAATAGGCCCAGGACAGGCGTGGCAAGTTTGGCTGACTTGATCTGATTGGGTAGGAGGATTAAGTTAACCCATTAGTGGATTATCCATCTTCGTGCTGAGAAAAGGCGTTCAGGTAAGACAACGCCCCTTTCCTTCAGTGGAGTACTAAGTGCCTGGAAAAAGAAAGCTGACAAATCTCTATTAGGGCAACTTTTAAGTAATAAACTTTTAATTTTTACCTTAATAAATAATAAGGTGGAATACTTATTTTGTACATCAGAAGTGGTAACTAGTTCAGTTCTATTTTTTTCAAATATTTTATAAACCTATTTGTATTTGCTATAAGATAATCAAAAATATTACCTGCAAATGTCATTTATAGTAGGGTGGTACTTTAGCGCCTGGCAGGTGGTACGCGACCCCTAGCCAAGTGTAGTGAGGGAGGGAACAAGCTAAAGCAGCGCCTTGCAGGCTTGGAGATCAGCTGGAGCTGCAGGGCTCCGCAGAAGCCCCAGCACCTGGGCCCGTGGCTGCATGCTGGTTGGACATTCCAGTGCACTGGGAAGAGAAGAAGAGGAGGGCAGAGAGAGGAGAAGCTATAAAAGCAGGTTTTGGCAAGAGAGGGAGAAAAAACAAAACACAGGGAAAGAGAGAGAGAAGAGAAGAGGCTTTTGTTAGCGAAGTGTGAGTGAAAGAGAGTGTGGGGCTTTTGCAAGCAAAGAGTGAATGAGAGCAAGAGAGTTTTTACAAGCAAAGTGTGTGTATAAGAGAGAGAGAGAGAGAGAGAGAGAGAGAAGCTTTTGCGAGCAAAGTGAGTGAATGACAGAGAGAGAAGCTTTTGTGAACAAAGTGTGAGAGAAGCTTTTGCGAGCAAAGTGAGTGAATGAGAGAACGAGAACTTTTGCGAGCAAAGTATGTGAGTGAGAGCGAGAGAGAAGCTTTTGTGAGCAAAGAAGAGAGCAAGAGAGAAGCTTTTACAAACAAAGTGAGTGAATGAAAACGAGAAAAGCTTTTGCGAGCAAAGTGTGAATGAAAACGAGAAAAGCTGAGCAAAGTGAGTGAATGAGAGAGCGAGAGAAGCTTTTGCGAGCAAAGTGTGTGAGTGAGAGCACGAGAGAAGCTTTTACGAGCAAAGTGAGTGAATGAGAGTGAGAGAAGCTTTTGTGAGCAAAGAGTGAGGGGGGTTGCAAGCAAAGGGTGGGAGAAAAAGGGAAAAGTGAGGGGAAGAAGGGAAAAAGATAAGAAAAGGCATTGACTTCTGACTTCCACTGTTGTAGTAGGAAGGAAGCATTAATACTGAACTTCAACTTTTTATTTTTCCATAATATTATAAACCAGCCATTTTTATAACAACAAATGAATCTAACCAGTAAAGCCCAAAATCCCCGTCCCTTTTTTTAGTTATCAAATTTTTGTCACCTTGCTAAGCACTGGTGGTGCTAGAATATTGTCATGTCCTAAAAGTGGTACAATCTGTGAAAAGGGTTGAAAAGCCCTGATTTATAGTATACTTTAAATACTTCTGCTTTTGTTAATACCTTACTAACCTTTGGCTAATGTTCTGGATTTACTTACCAGACTGGTTGGGCTAGGAATCTGTACTAAGACAAAAATGTGATTATGTGTATCCAGATAATAACTTGTAAGTATATCAGTATTTTGGGGCATTCATAAATCAAGCATAGATTTAACAGATCACTGCAATTTTCATCAGCTCAAGGGTAGCTTTGAACTTTGTCCAGCAAATTGGGTGGCTAGAGTTACTTCATTTAATCCAATCTTTTTGTATTAATGTATTTTATTCAGTCCCAAAGGTGCTCTTCCAAAGGCAACTGGACTTTGTTTTTCCTTGAAGAAGTTTCACTTCTCATCCAAGAAGTTTCTTCAGTTGGATAAGAAGCAAAATGTCTTTAAGGAAAAACAAAGTTCAGTTGCCTTTTGAAAAAGCACCTTTGAGACAACCATGACCTGGATGACTGAGAATCTCCATAGACATGTACCTTATTCAGATAGATTACAGTTAAATTATGTACACAGCCACCAATCATTTTTAAAATAATTAATTATTAAAGTAAAAACTCTTACTCTCCTTTGCAGGTTAGAAATCTTTGTTATATGGTAACAAAACGAGAGAAAATGAAGCACTCCATTTGCAAACTCCAGGAACAGATTTTCCATCTCCAGATGAAACTTATTGAGAAAGATCTTTATGCAGGTAACTTTTCCTATTGAGACCTAGAAAATCTGTATTATAAATTCCGTTAGGGAATTTTATTTTCTTTATTTACTATATTTTTAAAGAGATTAGACAAAGTACTTTTAGAAAACTGAAAGAAGTAGTACTATCTGACATTCGAAAGTTTTGATGTATTTATTTTGCTTTGGGCAATGTGTGTAATTAGAGCAGTGGCTTCTGTTTTCCAAGAGTGGAAAACTTTCCCACGATACTTAACTCCTACCTGCAAAAAATGGATTCTAAAAATATTTGGACAAGGAATGCATTGTTAATCTGGAGACTAAAACTCTAAAGAAAATTAAGTCGGTACAAAAAGAATATAATATCAGCACCACTTGTATCTCTTTCAGCAGAACATTTTAGAATTGGAGAATATCAGATTGAAGGCCCTCTCTTCATTACACACTTACATTTCAGAATCTATGCTTATAATAAAACATTAATAGAGGTTTATCACATTTATACGTAAATGCAAATACTTTTATCACAATAATCCAGTTCCATGAATATAATGGTAACACGGATCAACTCCTTTAATTTTGTGATTTGGACAAGAACTTGATAATGTGGTTTAACTGACCTTGTATAAGCCAACTATATAACATCTCTAAAAAGGAACATTAATCAGAAACTCTAACCAAATTTAGTAATAGTTAATTTTTGTTTGTCCAAAATGGAGCAGGGGGTTGGACTTGATGACCTCCAAGGTCCCTTCCAACATTATTATTATTATTATATTATTATTATTACTATTATTATTATTATTATTATTATTATTATTATTATTATTATTATTATTATTATTATTATTATTGCTAACCTTGCAGGACCCCTATACTAAAGTTTTAGAGATGACATCTGGTTCATTAGCAGTTTAGTAACCGTTGTGTTGCCTTTTTTACATGTACTATGTTGTTAAAAAATCAAACTTTAAATTATTGTAGTTTTTTTTGTTCCTTTGTGCTTTTAGTATTATCTTTAAATTAAGTTGTACTTAATATACAAGGAATACCTTCCAATACATAATAGTCTGAATGGTCTAAAGTCAAGATTTTAAACAAACATGAAATCAGTGCATATCCTTGAAAAAAATAATACAGTACACAATTGCTAGTTTACAACTTGTACCTTTTTTGTTGTTTTCAAGAAAAATGCAGAACCCAAAACCTAAGCTGTATAACATCCAGAATGCCCATCTTCAAGATTGCAACACCAGGAAAAAAATGATATTTTGATGATAAATATATAGTCTTGCAGGAAAAGCAACTGTTATTCTTGTGGTATCTTTGTAACATATGCTTCTGTGGAATACAGTTAATTCTCAATAATGGGCTGAGAATGAGACACTGGGGCCAAACCATTATGAAATGCAGAAGTATATCCATTGTAGCACTGTGACATTTCTGTTTATATCCCAAATGTACCCATGATAAAAACATCTGACACCTCTTAAAACTGTTAAATTAGACTGGAACAGCTAGAAAGATAATGTTGTCAGAGTGATTACAGCTGCGAATGGGTTATTCTATTCTTATCTTGTAAGCACTGGGGATTACACATAGAAATGTCACAGCCTTACTGCTTGCATTTCACAGACACACTGTTTACAGTGTTGTCAAGAACTAGATATACTTTTCTGCTAGAAAAGAATCATAAAGTTTTGCCTTTAATAAAACTAGCCAGAAAGTGCTTACTTTTCTTATTTAAAAAGATGCCCATTACAGTAAGCTTTGTAAATATTTCTTCACTTAGATGATAGACAGACCTTGCTTAAAGTCCACTCATTCAGTGACCATTTGAAGTTATGATGATGCTGATCAAGAAGGACTTAACAACAATTATTTGTAATAGCAGCCATCACAGTTTTTCCACAGTCACATAATTGTGATTTATGCACTTGGCAACCAGCTGGCAGTTGCAACACTGCAGTCCCACCATGGTGTGATTGCCATTTGTGACCTTAACTGTCAGCTTCCAACAAGCAAAGTCAATGGAGAAGGTGGCAGGAGATTGCAAATGATAATTTGTGGATGCTGTGTCTGTGCAGGATTCACCTAAAAATGGCAACCAGAATTATAGTTGTAAGTTGGCACAGTCAAGTGAAGTTTCACCTTACACTTGTATCAACGGCAGAGTCTCTGGTCCCAATTACCATTGGTAATCGAGAACTACTTGTAACCCAGAATTTGTTAAATTTCAGAGCTACTGTGAATTTTATTATTTGTTCTATGCTGTCTTGTATCTATTAATTTAACCCTGTTTATAACAATGTCTGATAGGACAACCCCTTTTTGCTCTTTATTCACATTTGTGAAGTAGCATTGGACTACTTTTGAAGGAAAACAATTGTGTGCATGGTTGATGTTGTTTTCCTTTTAACCTACAAGGGAACACTGGAGGGTTGCCACTGAGGGGGATGAAAATATCATGTATATGCATGGATTGTCACCAATATATTCAATTTAATGGTTTTCCAGTGCACATTTTTTGGTAAATATAAAAATGTAAGACGTATCTGTAATATAAACTTACAAATTAACCTTTTTAAATGAAAAGTACAGTCTGTTCAAAAGTTAGTACAATGCCATCTGTTTAAGAATTCAGCAGATGAACTTCAATCTTACCCTTTTCCTAATGAAGGCTTGACTTCAGTGCAGCTTGGCTTTCAAAAAGAGATGATATTTTTTTAAAAAGATCAGCATCAGTGATGAGCCATGACAGCTAAGGGGGATAGAAAAAGCATTTTGTTGAATATTAGTCGAGGCTAAAAACAAGCTGTAGATGAACAGGATTCCTGTCGGGGGGGGGGGTTGGGTATAGGAAATTGCTGACCTATTCATCCTTTTCTGATCTAGCACTCCCTCCCCTCCTTCAAAATATGATTGATTTCTGGCAATACCTGGAAAAGTCTATTTTCTTGGCTGGAATTTTTGGATGTGGCTTATCAGTATCTGAGAGGGCTGAGAAGAAATGACTGACCAAACGTACTTTTTTGATGCTTTGTGCCTAAAGGGGGAGGGGAGTGCAAGAATTCATGGTCTTCAGGCAGACCATAATTGCAATGTGAAGATCATAAGTCACTTTTTCCAGCTACATCTCGTCCTGTTAGTCCTATAAGATAGACCAGACTAAAAATCTAAAACTACTTTCCTGGATCATGGATTGCATTTCCTTCGCAAAGGACTCTTGGCAAGGGATGGGCTGCACCTCACAAAAAACAGGGGAAAATGTACGCGGAAAAAGACTGGCCCAATTCATCAGGAGGGCTTTAAACTAAAATTGAGAGGGAAGGGTGACCAATCTTCAGAATCTCTAGAACCCAAAACCAATCATAAATCCCAAGAAAACAAATCAAACAATGAGGTGGACAGAGATGGGGAAAAAAACCTCAAACAACATTCAGGAGGTACAGGAAACATACCACGCACAGGCACAAAAGCCTTAAATGCTTATATACAAATGCTCAAAGCTTGGGGAACAAACGGGCAAACTAGAAGCAATAGTACACGAGGGTGGGTATGACATAGTTGATATTACAGAAACCTGGTGGGATGAAACCCATGAATGGAATGGACTGATGGATGGATACAAATTGTTCAAAAGAAACAGGTCTACAAAAAGAGGAGGGGGAGTTGCACTATATGTAAGAAAACACTACATATCTACAGAAACACACATGATCAAATATAAAATCTCTCCAGAATGCATATGGGTCAATATAAAAGAGAAAAACAGTAACATTACCAGAGGTGTATATTACAGACCACCCAACCAATCAGAAGAAATAGATGAACTCTTTGCCAATCAATTAACAAATGTATGTAGCAAGTATACCACAATAGTAATGGGAGACTTCAACTATCCAGATATCAACTGGGAGACAAACTCTGCAGCGAGCGAGAGATCAAACAGATTCCTAACCAACCTAGCCGACAACTTTGTCATCCAAAAGGTGGAGGAGGGAACTAGACGTAAAGCCATACTTAATTCTAACTAATAGAGAAGAAGTGATAGAGGGAGTTGAAGTTGCCAGAACCTTGAGCGAAAGTGATCATGTCATACTGGAATTTAATATAACACAAACACTAGCAACAAAAAATAATCCAACCAGTGTCTTGAACTTCAAAAGAGCTGACTTTAACAAACTCAGAGAGAACCTAGGAAAGATCCCAGGAATGAAAATCCTAAAGTGGAAAACAACCCTAGAAGCGTGGGAAACTCTCAAAAATGTGATCATAAAAGTCCAGACCAGCACAATACCACTGAAAAAGAAAAACAAGAAATTCAAGAAGAAACCAGCATTGCTGCACAAAGATCTCTTTGATAAACTGAAAGACAAAAAGGACAAATACAAAAAATGGAAAAAGGGGTACATAACTAAGGCCGATTATCAGCAGACAGCCAGAACATGTAAAGATGAAGTCAGGAAAGCAAAGGCTCAGAACGAACAAAGACTTGCAACAGAAATCATGGATAATAAAGTTTCTTCCAACATATTAACAACAAGAAAAAAGTCAAGGAAACTATAGGTCCACTAAAAAGAGAAGATGGCAAGGAAATAACAGGCAACGGAGAAAGCAGAGCTGCTTAAATCATACTTTACATCAGTCTTCAAACAAAAAGAAACCATAGCCCAACATACCAAAAAAAAAAAAAAAACACTGCAAAAGATAAATTAGAAACAAAAATTAAAATAAGCAAGAAAATGGTAAGAGAACACCTATCCAACCTTAACGAATATAAATCACAGGGGCCTGACAGGTTGCATCCCAGAGTTCTGAAGGACATGGCAGATGTTATCTCAGAACCACTGCACCACATCTTTCAAAAATCCTGGAGCACTGAGGAAGAAGTACCTGAGGATTAGAAAAGAGCTGATGTGGTTCCCATCTTCAAGAAAGGGGGGAAAACCAGACCCAGGAAACTACAGACCAGTCAGTTTAACATCAACACCTGGGAAGATTCTAGAAAAGATAATA